TCGTTTCTCATTTCCTTCATCTTATGCTCCTGAGGCCTGGCCCAAAACCCACTGAAGCTGAGGAGAGTCTTTCCGCTTTCTTCACCCTATTTTGCATCAGACCTTTACACAGWGCAGATGATAGGGAGTGTAACCAACTCTCTGCTCTGACTGGAGCCATTTTATTTGATAAATAATTAGCCTGCAGCTTCTTGTCAAAATCTGGAAGTACTTTAAACTAAAAATGTAGCAGTTAATGGTTGATTCTGCTTTTAACTGGTTTTGAATGCCAAAAACCACCCTGGGACTTTTTAATGAAGGCTATTCCATGAATAGAGGATGTTCTTGCCAAAGCTCTGCACCAGATAACTGAGCAATCTTCGTTTCCTTTTTCCTCTAAAGTGGGACTCCCACACGCCACCACTGTAAACACAGAGCTTGCCTCCATAAACATGATTTCTGATGCTTAGCACAGCAAGGAGTCATATTCTACTGTATTTAAAGTGCGGTGAGCTTCTCTCATTTTGAGTAGCAGCCCTAAAAATAGCTGTTTATGGACAACACCAGATGGMTATTGGGTATTACCACAGTCACTGGGCAACGATTATATTTCTTTGCAAAGAAGCTCAGCTTTATACCATCCAATAGGGTTGGTGCCATTTAATTTTCTGCCCTAAGCTGTGATAGCTGCTTTTTCATAAATCAGAACAGAAGATGGACTAGTTACAGTGATTCATTACAGAACACAGGACCACATCAAACAAAATAAACCAAACTACTGTAATTATTTGTTYGGTGTTGCTTCCTATTAAACAAATACCCCTAAAGGATCCAAACCCTGTTCTGTTTGTAAAGATCTCTGTGTAAAACACCTTTACAAGCAGCTCTGCACCCAGCATCTATGTATGGAGCAGCACGTACATCTGTCCATGTGCACAGCTGACTCTGTGTGACATCATGACAGCATTAATCCTGGCTGCAGCAACTGACAGAGCAAGCATTCTGGTTTGTTCCTTTTATGACTACCATAATTAGTGATTTCCTGTGGATTTCATCAATGTTCTTTTTTTTTTTCTGAGCCCACATAATTTCCTCAGATGGTCAGCTTATTTTCACAGCTCAGCTGAATCCAGCTGTGCTTTACAAATCGCTTTCTCTTGCATCTACAAGATACCAGGAAACAGATAACTTTCATTGTATTTATTTGCTTTTATAAACAAAAAAAAAAAATGGTTTTCATTCTGTATGGACCACAAGGTCTATATAAACAAACTGCATTTGGAACTGATCTATAACTCTAAAAATGTGCCTAKTTTTTCCAGTTTCAAAATAATACCACTTGCATTTGGATATTTTGTGTCTGAAAATGGACAAATGGACACATAATATATTCGTTTCTATTCATCAATCTAATGTTTT